ATCCCCAGTCCAAGTCCTAACTCAGCTGTGTCCACCCACATCAAATAGGGGGAAGGATCCCATTTATCCAGCTCTTGGCAGAGAAAGGCCCTTGATTTGAAGCTAAATGCATGCAGGCAGCCCTGCCTGTGCTGGCTGGGGTTGGGGTCGGGGGTTAAACACCAGCATAGATCACTGAGGCATTGCACGGTGGAGTTAAGACAGCAGTCTCTGGAGCCGGAGTCCCTGCGTTCAGATCCTACTTCTGCCATGTGGTGGGTTCAAGATGGCCACCAATTCTTTGACAGTCTTCTCATGGAGAGGTGAGGTCTACGCCCCTCCCCTGGAATCTGAGATGACTCTGTGACATCTCTGGCCGAGGGAAAATGTCAAGAGTGGCCCTGTCTCAGGCCTTAAGAAACTGGCAGCTTCCACTCCTTGTCTCCCAGAGCCTCGAGCCACCCTGTAAAACCCAACCACACTGCTGCAGAGACCCCACAAGGGCCCTGGGACTGCGGGTGGGGAGCGAGGGCCCGGCGGAGTGCAGCCTTACAGCCGCTCCCATCACGGCACCCGCATGTCAGGGGAGCAGCCTTGGACCCTACAAACCAGTGCAGCGTGGCCCTTGGCTGGCCAAGAGCGAAAACCCACAACCAACACTCCCAGAGGCAGGAGAATCACGCCGTTGTTCTCTAAGTGCCTGGCTCAGAGCGAGTGCTCGGTCAGCGTTGGCTCCTGTTAGACTTGGATGACATCCGGTTAGATCCTAAGATAGCGAAGTCTGAGCGTGGGCTCTGAGTCCTCTACTCCCCAGCCCTTCGGTCCTTTGGTAGTACCGCCTCACCCAGGACAGTGGCTCCTTATGGAACACTCATGTAGAAATGACCCAGGCGTGGAGGGGCCAGTCTCAAAGCATTGGAGTTCACTGCTCCACCTACAAATAGCCACTGCCTTCCCCCAAGCTGGAGAGTTCCCAATCTCCAAGCCAGTGGAGGCTGGGCTGGCTCCCAGCCCTGCTCCCAGCTCCCACCCTCAGCACGCATCCAGCTCCTCACAACCTACCCAAACATGCTTCGTCCAATCTGCAGACTTCACTCTTGTTACACTTCCTTTGCCTGGAGCGACCACTCGCCTTCTCTCTGCCAACACTGATTCCATCACGAGCATTTGAGAAATGAGCAAGCTCCAAGCTTCCCAAAGGGCGTGCCTGCGAGACATGCCGCAGCAGAGGAGCTGTGTGGACAGCGCAGTCTGGGAAATACTGGACACTGCATTTCCCACCTTTCCTTCCATCATCACAAGTGCGTTGGTAAATTAAAAACCGTAAAAAGCTACGTCTTTCAGAAGTCTGTAAACTTTGTATTGTCCAGATTTTCACAAACGTGTCCTGACTGGGAAACAACTTTCTTGTAAGACAAGGCTTCTTGGGAGGAGCGAGCACTGAGCTGAGTCCTGAGGACTAGAAGAGGCAAGCAGGTGCAGGGGCGGAGAAGGAAGCAGGAAGGGGGTGACTTGATTGACAGGAAGGCAAATTAAAGAAGCAAATCAAATCTAAGACCTGAAGGCCCCGTGGTCTCCTGAGGGCTTTCAGCAAGAGCATAAAAGATCGGATTTGCATTTTATAAAGATCACTAGCTCTCATTAAATGCTTTGGCCTTATTTTTTGATTGGGACCTATAGTAAACAAAACATGTTGCATTTTTACCCAATATCCATATATGGCACATTACAAAGTTTCATAAAATGGCTCTTATTCTTGTTACATGCAATGCCCCCTGATACTTTCTATTATCTTTTCCTCCTTTTAAAGAGGCCTTCCAATAATCTAGGCAATCAAAGATGGGGATCCGAACTTTCTAGCACCTGAATCTGAGTGGACACGGCCTCTCATCTTCTCCCTGATGTTCTTGATGAATAAATCACTGATCTACTTTAAGACAAGCAGAAGAACTTAGTCCTAGTTCTTCTGCTAAGGAGCAGTCAACTCATTTAACCTGTGCGTGATTTCCCTCATCTCCCGTCACAAGTCAGAGGTTGTTTACCATAGAGGGCAGAGAGTAAGTCAGATTCATTTTGTTCCCTAGGACAGCACTTGGCACACTGGTGGACACCCTGGGGGTGCTTCACACACACATATGCACTGCATTGCATTGCCTTGTATTGGTGGTTCTTCATCCATTGCAGGGCAAAGTTCGGCAGCTGGGAGACAGAAGTAAGCTTCACCTGGGTACAGTGCGTGGCCCAGGCAGGTGAGCAGATGACCTGGGAAACATCTCCTGCGCCGGTGCTGTGGGCTCAGGACTGAAGCGCCTGCATCACGGGGAGGAGCCCTGAACCTACGGCCACTTACCCCGCTGCGGGCAAACCTCCCGGGGGCTGCGGTCCAGGGGGAAGCCACCGCATTCACCTTCTTCCCTCGTTCCTCCCGAGGGGATCCCTGTCTCTCTGGCCCTTCCAGAGCTGTCATCTGCTCTCACCTCTGAGGTCTTCTTCCTTCAGGACTGGACCCAAAGTGGGGCTCAGCCTCAGCGCCTCCTCCCGCTGGCTCTGAGAAGAGGGCTCTGGCCCTCTCAGGGTAAGGGCTTCACTGCTGAACTGAGAGAGAGCAACAGCATGGACGTCTCAAGAACAAGGCCCAGAATCTCACAGGATGTTCTCTAGAGCCTCAAGTAGTTTGTTGGTGACCCCACCCCTTCCTGAGGGTGAATTTCACCAAGCCTCCCTTCCCCCCCTTCCCCAGATTAGGTCTTCCATTTCCTGCTGAAGGTCTGAGGCACGATTAATAGTTGAACAATAAATGAATTAGTCACCCCCCGCCCAAGTATTTGAAGCTCAGGTGGTCAGGGTGTTCCAGGAGGGTGACTGTCAGTGCTTTCCCTTCCCCACACAGGAAATAAATGACCCCAGGCCTCTCCCTCAAGGTTACTCATATACCACACCATCTTAAAAGTCCTGGAGGAAAACTGAAGTGTGGCCCACAGCATCCTTTACTGTCTTTTTTTCTTTTTTAAAGATTGGCACCTGAGCTAGCATCTGTTGCCAATCTTTTTTTTCCTTCTTCTCCCCAAATCCCCCCAGTACATAGTTGTGTATTCTAGCTGTAGGTCCTTCTGGTTGTGCTACGTGGGACGCCACCTCAGCATGGCCTGGTGAGCTGTGCCATGTCTGCGCCCAGGATCACAAACCGGTGAAACCTTGGGCCTCCGAAGTGGAGCACTCGAACTTAACCACTTGGCCATGGGGCCGACCCCTACCCTTTACTTTCGTTTATTCACTCTGATAGAGTAGATTGGCAACTCCAGCTGTCAGTCTGAGAAGTTGAGGACACCAGGGCTGTGTTGACCAGTGTTATTCTAATGCCACAATGGTAACTTCTAGCAGCAAACGACCCCAGAGAAGGAAAAAAGGGAGCTGCCTAACTCCAAGGTGGCACCTACCATGATCACCTCAACCCTTATGTCCCTGGAACCTTGGCCCAGACTCCCTGTGGAAGCTGGCGGGTCATAAACAAAGCTCATTTGCACATGCTTGGAGTGTTGCTAGCAAAGTGATAACAGTCCTTATCTGCTGGTGGGGGGAACACGGCTGGCTTTCTTTGTCTTCCTTCTGCTTGTCTGGGTATCTGACTTTCCTACCCAAAAAAAGTCCATATTATTTTGCAATAAGAAAGGAAAGCACAATTGTTTGTTGTTGCTCAGAAAAAAGTATGTCCCGCCGTATCCATACACTTCACACATAACATCATTCTATTATTTACATTGAAAAGATGATTTTTTTAATTTCTAAAAGGGAAAATCAATTAGGGAGACCATAGCCCGGGTTTTGGTGACACGGTCTTGATTTAAAATCTTAGCTCCTCCCGTTATTATGCTGGAATGACCTTGCCAAATGTACTTAACCTCTCTGAACGGCAGTGTCTTCACTTGTAGAGGGGGCAAGATCCTTTCTTCGCAGAAGGGCGAGGAGCACTTAGAACACTCCTTCACGCTTACTATATAATGCATGCTCAAAAACATTTGCCGTTTTCTTCTCACCCCAACCCTGAGGTCTCGGACAGTATCTTCAAAGATCAGCGAGAACACATTTTGCAGAATCTTTAGAAGGAAACTCAGCATCCATTCAGTCTGACTTCTCCAGAATCCTGTCCGCAGCTTTCCTGGCTCAGGGTCCCTGAGCCTTCCCTGGGAGCAGGTGGCTGACTCCATAGTCGGACAGGTGTCACCATGATAATGATGTTACTTGCTGTTTATTTAGCTAAAATTTGAGCGCCTATAAAATTCTACCTATTGTTCTGATTCTAACCTCTCGACTCTCAATGGAGAATTAGCAGGCTTCTGCTCCACCCCATAGTCCTTCAGCTGTTACGTTAACACCAGTACCAAGCAGGGTCATTGCATAAGGTAGAGGTTGGGCTAGGCAGGGCAGAAAGCTTCTTTAGTGACACAAAGCGAGTTAGTACCTGAATCATGGCCCTGGCAGTTGGCGACATTTCCACTAAGGTCCTCTCACTGCCTCCTGCACCTTCACTGCTCCTCCAGCTTCGTCAGCTCTGCTTCCAGTCAATTCCTCAGCATCCTTCCTCGCCTCTACCCAGCGCCAGCCTTCTTTCCCCTGACCCCTTGTGAAGGTGGAGGCTTGTATTCCTGCGTGGAAGATGTAGCTGAACAAGTTGATGGGGAAAACCGCTTTTGCTAATTCCGTCACACCACGTGAGGAGGGAGGTAGAACTTAATGGAGTCACAAGTACAGAAATATATCAATCAGGCAATAAAATAAAGTTACTCTGATTTTATCCTTTAAAAAAAATTCCTGTAGGCCAGAGCTCAGTGATACCCAGCCAGACCATCGAATTGTTATTTTCATATTAAGGAAAACAGAAGCTCTTTTGGATAACTCTTTTGCATTCCAAGCTGTCAGCGGAAAAGACAAAGACGGACTGTAGACCATTAAGTGCTTCGGAGACACGACTTTAGCTGGGCTGTAACTCAGTTACGCAGTGATTTATAAAGAGCCTGGGGGAAATACTTCTTTATCTGGGCAGGGGCATTGTCAGATTGAGGGTGCAGGAGTTCCAAATGCTGTTTGTTCCAGCTCTGTGTTCGATCGCAACAACGTGAATGTCTTGTCTGTGCTGGTGGATTATTAACAGAGGTTATTGGTCTCCATGGCAAAATGATTGCTCTCAATGTAATCTCATTTATGGGGGTGCAAGTAAAAGGACTTCAGGTCAGAGAGAGTGTATAAATGGCCACCGTCATCGAGGTGCTGCTGCATTTGAGAAGCTGAAGCAACTCCAAGGGCACGGTGCACAGGCCGATTGGCTTCTCAGCCCCGAAATACGGATTGGACTGGGGACGCTCTCCAGGACGCTCTGGCGACACCTTAGAAGAGACCCGTGAAGGACGCGCTGAGGCCTTTTCTCGCAGCTCGCCCCCGTCCTTGCCAGCATGTGCACTGGGGGCTGCGCCAAGTGCCTGGGGGGCACCCTCATTCCCCTCGCTGTGTTTGGCTTCCTGGCTAATGTCCTGTTATTTTTCCCCGGAGGAAAAGTGATCGACGACAACGTCAACCTTTCGGACGAGGTCTGGTTTTTCGGAGGAATATTAGGAAGCGGGGTCTTGGTGAGTAGGGAAGCCCTAAAATCCCTCTGAAGAAAATTTTCACCCCATCCTTTTAAAATTGAGTACTTATTGACCGGGAAGGTATTTAGTTTCTAACAAAAGCCTACGTGTTGCATGACAAAGTCAGTGTCTTTCTTTTTCCCTTGTCCATTAGGACCTGATGAGGATGTGTCCACTAAGTTTATTAAGTACTGAGTCCCCAAGCATGGGCTGGCAGTTCTCAGGGGTCAATTGAATTCCACAAACCAAATGGAGGGCCACATAATTTCTTTATTCTAAAAGGATAGTGGGGGTGGGGAGGAGCTGGACACACACTTTCTAGCAAACTGATTGACTGAAGGCCTCCCAGAGCAGCAGGTGTCAGTGGATCCCCTCCACTCGGGCACTAATGATTTCTCTACCCCTGTTTGCAATAGAGGGTGGGAACCTTGGGTTCAGAAAGAGAGACTCGCTTTTCATGACAGTTGTGGACAACTTGTCCTAACCCACATCCAAATGGAAACTTAAGGTGTCAGATCTTGAAATCTTGCTTCGCTGAAGCTAATGGCACCTGCATACTCACTACCACTCTTAGACCCCACAGCCCTGCTCTGTCCTTGCCATACCCTCTGGCCACTGTGTTCCCATAGTGGATGTGGCTGCTCACACAGCCAGGCAGGCATGGCCCTCCCTTAACAGCCCGGACCCGCTCTGAGCTGCTTCTCTTGCTGGTAGATGATCTTCCCGGCGCTGGTGTTCTTGGGCCTGAGGAACAATGACTGCTGTGGGTGCTGCGGCAACGAGAGCTGCGGGAAGCGATGTGCGGTGAGTCACGGGGGCGGCCAGCAGAACGACCCAGGGTGCGCTGTCTCCTTGTGCTGGGCATCTCGGGGGTGGGACGAGTTGCCAGCCCCAGGTAGGATTCTGGGGGCAGCTGGTGCAGGCACAAAGATGGGGTTCTTCTCGCTGGTGCAAAGTAACAAGAATAACACAATTTTCAAATACCATCGCCCTCAAACTTGAAGGGTACAGGTACCATTTTAGGTTTTACAAATAGGCAGGGATGTCAGAGCTACAAAATTAAAGTGATGCCGTATATAGAATGCAGGCTTGGAAGGCAGGGATGGGCTGTAAGTCTCCCTCCGCCACCGAGGGGCCCTGAGACTTTGGGCAAGACCTTCGTCTTCTCTGGCTCTGCAGTGCCCCATCTGTAAAGGGGGGCTGGGGCGGGATGACAGATGGTAACTTCATCTCACGAGGAGTCCTCTCAGCTCCCCATCCAACCCCTGCCAGGGGCTCAGCCCCAGAGGCCCAGCACTTACTCATGTCTCCCCAGGTTTTGCCTCCAACTTCTGTTCCCTTTCTTTTTCGTGCCACCATCCCTCTTCTAGCAGGCGAGCCAGAGAGGCAGGGCATCGCCATTCCGGGGGGAGTGGGAAGCTGCCGGGACATGGGGGTGAGTCCCAGTTCTGCCACTGCAAGTCCCTGCCCTGCTCTTGTCTCCCTTTGCTGGTCTGTAAAATGAGGACGCCGCACCAGATGCGAATTTCCCGAGTTTAGGACAAGCTCTGCTGGTACACTGATGGGCTCTCTTTCAGTAACATAGAAAGTCATTCCCTTTCCATTCCCCTTCAATCTCTTTGATTCTATCAAGAAAAAAAATCTTATTTTGATGGAAATAAGTCTTTACTACATCTAACACTTCGTAATCTCCCTTTCTAACAAAGGGGGAACAAGTCTCGAGCTCCAGGAATGCAAGCGACGTTAATGAAAAAATCAATAATATTGTGTTTGTGTTTGCTAATGATTCTAGTCTTTTGTGCATGTTGGTGACATAAATGAATAAAATAGAGTTTACCTAAAGAAAAATATTAAGAGTTCAGGTACATTGATATAGCAAAAATGAAGAAGGTAGAACTGAAATTCCTGGCTGGCTGACGAGTGAGGCCAGCTTCTGCTGTCATCTCCAAGGTTCATGTCTGTCTGGGAGGCTCAGGACCCCAGTGAAGAGCTGGACACACCCACCTTAACTGCTTTACAGGGAAGGGGTAGCCATCTGTTCTGGAACAGAATCGTTTCTAGCATTCTTTCTCATCATTATTTGCTCATTTATTCAATCAAAAAAGATTTATTGAGTACATATGAAGGGCTGAGTCTGGGGCTCTGTTCACACAATTACAGTTTTCCATGTGAAATCAAAGACCATTCAAAGAGAATGTTCTCACCTTCTTGACACCATCATGAGTCCCAAGGAAGCACTGATGATTATTATTATAGCATGTAATCATCATTTACAAAGATATGTAAAAATTAACCACAATTAATCTAATTACATAGCATAAGTTATATATAATATGATACTTTTACGTAATTACTTATAAAGGAATAGAAAACATATATATCTCATTTTCCCCTTGAAATGTAATTCCATCATAGCTTGTGGACTTTGGAGGGATTCGTTGGAGATGAGAATTTGAAAGAAATTAGCAATTAAGGAAATTGGATGAAAAGAAAAAAACAGTCATTGTTACCGAACCAGGTTCGTTTTTGCCCACCGCCCGGAAAGCCAAACACCGAGACCACAAGATTGCAGCAGAGACAGGATTTACTCACAAGGCAGCCACGTGAGGAAGCGAGAGCAGGAGCCTCAAACTAGCTTCCCTGAAAATGGGGACTCAGGGATATTTGTGGGATGGGGCAGGGTGGTCTGCAGTGTGGAGAGAGGTGATTGGAGGTGAGAGAGGTGAGGTAATGACGATCTGCGCGAGCGTGCTCAGACGCCACGCCTCTTCGTAGGACCCACGTTCACAAAATGGCGGCATTAGCATGATCTGGGGGTGGAGTTTTTAGCCACTTGACATCAAAAAGTCGGCTATTGGACATCTGCATGGGCCCAGTTGATGAGTTGGTGGTCTCAACTGGCCTGAAGTGGACAAAGGGGTTCTAATTCCTGAAGAACAGCTCACACCCCCATCACCATGGTGACCCAGGCTCCAGGGAGACGTTATCTATAGCAACGTAGTGGAGTCAGAGAGCATATTGCCTAAGCAGCACAGTTAACAATGGAGGGTTAAACAGCTAAAAGCTAGTATCGGTAATTGCAAAAAGGAAAAACCCTTTAGTTCCTAGCTACTTAATCATCAATGGCTAACTCTCTGCCAGGTTCAATCCCTCCTATTCTTTGGTATTCCTCATTCTTGAGGGATTTGGGGCAATGACCAACCTAGCTACTTCCTGCTGAATTGGGGCATAGATCTGGATTAGAGGAACGAAACTGTTTAGGACTCATTTGGAAATATTCTCTTGTTCTTGGCTTCATGTTGACATTTTTATACTAGAATTTTGTATCCTGCTCAACAGTTTTGGAACACTAAAAGCACATTTTTTAATCAAGTGTCCGACCAGCAGGATAAGAAGTATGGAAATTTTAACACTCCCTGAAAATTTGACCTAATCCCAATGAGGCCTCCATCTGATCTCCAGATGCAGGCAGACATCTGGTCTCAGTTCCTGATGGTCTTTTGTTTTACCGGATATGCAGAGACCAGAGCAACGCCCTATACCCTGATCTTTCAGTTGTTATTGGTCATTGATGACAGCCATCAGCACAGACTCTCTGGCGGGGGGTCATCACATCCCTAAGGAACTCAGAGGAACAGAGCTATCAACTTACAGCAGCTGGGAAGGTCCATAAAATCTACAGAGCCTGTCTGGGTTAGTTAATCAGAGATCATTCAAAGTTTCAATGTGGTTTCTTTCCTACAATATGGCTTCCCTTATGTCAACCTTATGTTGACCAGGGTCATCATTGCTTAGAAATCTAATCTCATTCCCTGGTGTTGAGTGGAAGGCTGAAGATTAGTGCATATAAAACAAAGGTTCTGCTTATTTTTTGCTTTTAGGTTTGTATATATAACCACAGTGAGAAGTGAAATAGTATTTAAAGCATTGTACAAAACGTGTTTCTTAACTAGATTTAAGTGAAGTCCAAGAGGAAGGCAGAAAAGTCATGTTTTTACCAACACAGTTGAGTCAACAGGACCTGAGACATTTGGTCTGCCCATTCCAGTTGTCCATCTGGGCTCCGTAACCCCCGGGGGGGTCTGCCCTTAGTGTGCCTTGAGGAGGACACCTCCAAGTGACCAGCGGACTCTCCGGAGGGTCTGTGCCCACCAAAGGACCAGCCATGCCGGACTTTAAACCGAGGCAACCAGTCACAGCTGCCCCGGACCAGGGGTGACCACACTCCAGGTGCACAGCAGAGGATTTCTTGTTTGGGGTTTGTTTGCTTTTTAATGAGCTGCCAACTTTTAAAAATTGAGAGATTTCACACAAAAAGTAGCTAGATCTCTCCCTTCTTTTTCAAAACATTAAAACTTAACCTGTTACTCCTGGGCCTGTGTTTTGTGACACAGTGGCCTCCGCTGGGGATGGCTGAGCTCTTCCTTTAGGGTCCCTGCCCCTGGGGGCCACTGAGATCATGACTCTGCTTTAGAGATGTGTTTCCTTAATGTTCTGAAGATCTGGAGCACCAAGCATTAGTCATTTTTTAAAGAAAAGTATTTACAAACATTTTGTCAGAAAACAGAAAGAGCATACTTTGGTCGGTCCTATAATGCTGAAGATTTGAATTATTTTTCCAGATGCTCACAGGGTTCCCCTCTGGGTGTTAAAGGAACACTGGGCTTCTGTGGCACATTAACAAATCCTGCTGCGTAGACAGGCCAGTGAGGCAGAAACAGACCAGGCCAAGCTGGTAGGTTAACTCCTGCTGCCGTCTCCACGGCCTTGCTGTCTATCACTTGTTTCCTGGCCGTGCCCTCTCCTTTCTTCTCTGCTATGTCTTTCTGGAATATTCCCCAGAAGGCAGCTGCATCACTCTCTTCCCTTTCCACGGGCAGTGAAATCAGGACAGAAGAATCAATAGCAGAAGAGGATGCAGTGGCTGGAGAGATAAAACAAGACAATGAGCTGGAAAAAATCTTCAGATCACTTGATTGACAGCTCCCGAGAAACCAGAAGGCTGTAAGCTCTCCTCAGAGGCAGAGGAGACTGGAGCCCAGCCCCAGGGATCCGCACTCTTTTAAGTAAATTAGGCTAAACAAGAGCCGAGAAAAGTGAGCCCTGGGGCAAAAACTGTGAGGGGAAGGTGGCTTGCCTCCAAGGTGTGCTTGGAAAACCCTGCCCTGAGTTTGTCTTGAGGTCTCAACCTCTTCCTGCTCGAGGGCCGTTCTCAGTGGCCCCCTGCCAGCTTATCTGTGGCTGGTCAGGGTCGCCTGCCCTCTAATCCTGAAAAAAATGGATCTCTCAGGGTCCACTGGCACAGCTGAATAATTTTATCAACTCATTCATGTTAAGTATGTGCTTTACTAAGAGCCTTTTGAAGACACTGGCCTTGCCTCAAAGGAGTGTCTTTAATAATGAGACTGAAGGCAGACTGATAAAGGAGATATTGAGGGCAGGCAGGCAGGCACTGCAGCATCCTTAAAGCGTATCAGGGAGATAAAGGCCCACCACACCCACAGGCAGGGCCAGATGGTCGACAGGCCTGCCTGGGAGGACGATCTTGGTCAGGTGGTGAATTAGTCTGCTCGTTGCAGCCAGCACTTCCTCCCATGCCTGGCTCAGCAGTGCCCCCCAGGGACGCCTGCTGTGCGGGCTCTTCTGCAAGGAGCGCTTGCTTCTGGAGGCCGAAAGCAGGGACTCCCTGAGATCTATCTCTGGGTTCCTTGGAATGACAGCAAGTGTGAGGGACATTTAAGAAAGACAGTTCTTTTGAAATAATAGATTATCTTGAAAGAAGAAATAAAGTATGGAACCCTATT